TTAGCCAGGTGGCATGTGACTAGTAGTTAACGCGTGATAAGGCAGCTCCTGCGAATTCCTCAATATTGTATTGATTAATATATATATGCTAATTGTATTGACTGTATAAAATTGTACATCTATGTACTGTAAAGCGCTTTAGAGTGGCTTATGTTAGCTAGATAGGGCGCTATATCAAATGTTGTATATTTATTTATTTACTTATATTGGAACATTAGCACCTACTTGATACGTCAGCCCTTTCTTCCTTCTATGGGAGTACCCTGTCCGGATCCCAATTTTTATATCCCTCAAAAAATACTCAGGGGTCTGGACACATTAATTAGATAACAATTTCCATTTTGAATCATTCAGGGAAATCTAAAAATATGATTCTAGATTAACAGAGCTTCACGTTTTATCACTGCACAATCATAAAACAGTTAAATATACTTTCATAAGGAAGTGACCTACATTGCTTGTCCTCTGTGGGTAGTAGTGTATTGATGAGAACAAAGTCCATCTCAAAAACAGACATTGCTTGATGGACAAATATATACACCCATCAGATATAATCTATCTATGCTGTACTTTCTATCATTAAAAGTTGCATATGCATGACTGTAATATTTCTTACAACAATCTTCTATGTACATGTGTATCTCCCATCTGTTAATAAGGAAATGTGTTACATACATGTGACAAAAACAGGTGATGCAGCGATCATATTGACTGAGGTGTATGCTAAGCATGCCCGGTAACTGTTTGTGTACTGGATGAGCTTAAATACTGAACGAAATTTGTAACCTGTAAGCTTTGTGTTGTTAAGCTGGTTTCTTTTTATGTTACAATAATAGCTTTTGACTTTACAGAAACAAAATACAAAATTCCACTTAAAAGTTCTTAAAAAGATGATGAAATTTTCAATGTATTTGACTGACCCCAGTGACTGACCTTGAAAGTAGGTCAAGGTCATTTACATTCAGAAACCATTAAACCATCCCATCTGAGTTAATACTATAATCCTAGGCTATGTGGAACTGAAAAAGAAGATTCTTAAACCTTTTCATCCATTATTGCCTTTGAGGACATTTACCCCAGTTAGCACTTTAAGTTTACTTTTGACCTTAACACAATATACCTAGCTTACACAAAGTTTTGCATTGCTAGTATGCATAACATACCCAAGAATAATGATAATTATTTAGATCATGTTTTTTTTTTAAATTTTTAACACAGTTGATCTGTGCAACCTTCAAACTAAGTCAAGGTCATTATATGAGAAAAACAACATACCCCTGGTACCTACAGTTCCAGTTCCATCACAAGATGTATATTTATCTACATGCTTATTGTTTATTGTAATGGCTGTCTCTTTCCATTGCATTTCATAAATGTCAATAACCAATGCTAAAAACAGTTTTCACATCTAAATACATTGTATGTTATGCTAGAAAATTCAACAGTTTTTGTAATATTTGAACTTGTGGCCTGGTAACATGTGACAGGATGCATGCACCTACAGACTATGTCCAGCTCTGTTTGTTATAGTGCCATCAACACTGTGATTACTAATCATTATTTGGCCAAATAATATTCATCGAATATAAATGCCTTTACTTCGAACCAAAGTTATCACTGTGTAACTGTACAACTAGGGTATTTATCATAACTAGGTATCACAAATTAAGCCAATACAACTAACTAATTACCTAACCCCCCTCCCTTGCAGTAGCATCATGATGTGGAACTTGTCACTATTTTTCACCAATCAAATAAAATGGCCAAATTTACAGTTTGAAAAGAGTTTGGTGCAAATATTGCCAAAATATATATGTAAGATATGTATGTAATGGAGAGTATGAATTTATGTAGACTGATTCTAAATGAGATTTTAATTATTTGATGAAAAAACAAAAATCACTAACATTGTAGAAAATATTTTACATATTACTGTTATAACTATCAGCATAATTCATATCATTTGGATACAACACTGATAATAACAGTAACATTCTTGCTTTGGACCAGGGGGTACTTATTTGGACCAGGGGGTACTTATTTGGACCAGGATACTTATTTCTTATAGCTCAGTTGGTAGAGTGGAAAACGGGGAAACTAAGGGTTGCTGGTTTCACCCCCTTGGCCTTGGATTGACACTTCTATCTGTCCTGTTACAAATAGTGTCCATGACCCTCGAGATTCTCGTGATTTGAAGCATTTTCTTACATTTTTCTCCACAAATGCATCTCCATGGACATCCAACCTTATGATATTTACAAGTTTAAATGGATTTTTTCATGAATTGTGACTTTTATTAAGCTTGGAAAATGAACATATAAAATGAGTTTTTTCATCAGTTATTGAATATTTTTTCTGAAATTTGATGTACATCTTCCTCAATTATGTTTGAGAAATATTGGAGGAGGATTTTTTTGTGACAGGGATTGTTTAACACTAAAGGAATCGTTATTGCATTTGATATACATGTCCTAAAGCTGTTTTTATTCTTTGGTCAACATGCATGCTGTGTGTTTTGTTAGTAATTTTCTATGTATTTTATTCATGTTTTGTCGTAATAATAGCTCTACAGAGCTAATGTTCATTGTTTAACATGTACAAGTCTATAAATAAAAAATAAAAAATATGTATATTGTGTAGGCAGGCGCGGATTTAGGGGGGGGCACACCCGGCCCCGGCGCCCCCTTTTGGCGGCGGCCTGACCTTTTCCGGGCCGGCCCGAAATGGTCTGATCGGCCGGGAATGGGAACATATTAACATTTTAAAATGCCTCAAATAATGCACGGAGCTTGCATAAAAAAAATCTGGGGCTATGCCCCACACATCCCATACGGCATCCTAGCAAATATTGTGGGTTTCCGTTATCTGATGTTTTTACTATATTTTTCTTTATTAAAACAATATTTGTTGGCATCGCTACGCTCGTCTACTTTGTATCTTTACCCTAAAGTTTGTTTTTTATTTTACCACCTCCGCAAAACCCGAAGTTGCAACTTGCAACGCTCGGCGGAAATATACTAGCATAAGTTGCATAATTATATGATTGACCGCTCGTTATAGATGATCTAAAAAAATTAATACTTTTTATTGTAACCTTCCTAACCGCCCGGGCGATATTAATCATATCATTATACAAGAAAGACAAAGTTTTTTTTCGGCTGACAATATTATGTATAATCGATTAAACATATCCATTCAATTATTTTGGTATTATATACATTGTTGGAACTGTCTTGTATGTACAACATAATATCTCGTTGTGGTACTTATAGCTTACCATCTTGTACGTACAAGAAAGTATCTTCACACAGCATACTATTGTGTACGTAGTAATAAGTTGTACCTACCAGAATGAGACATGCTGTACTTACAAGTATGATAATTTTAAATTAAATTTAAAGGTGACGCGTATGTGCCTCCTAAGTTGTACCATTTTAACCAGATAGCTTAGCAAATGTACCACTGTTGGTAATATGCACGCCCTTACATGAGTTAATCAGCGTGGACATTTCATATATATCATTGTCTACACTAGTGAATTAGTCAACAATTATGAAACACAAGACTATATAGCTAGTGGCCTTGGGTGTCGCACTGATTTGAACTTATCCATTTGTTTAGCAACTTAGTGATGCCATGAGTAACTCATTAATTAAACAGCAACGATGTTATGGTGTTATTTGTTCTTTTGTACGACAAACTATTACAAGAAGTACTGTACTGTAGGTACAATATGTCTGAAGACTAGATATTGTGCGTTCCTACATTTATTTTTTGACGGTGGACCTCTCGTACCCCCTTGCGGGCGGGACGCCAAATTAGGTAATAATGAACAAGCCCCCTGTGGATTCATACATTTGTCATCACCAGGTTGCCCCTATAATAATACCATCTGACTTCTATAACACGCTGTTGATAGAGAATTTGAACCGAAACTTTAATTTTCTTTCCAGTACACAAAAAAGTCTTTGGGCCATACTTAAAATATGTTTTTTTCTTCTTGTTAATTAAACATAAAAACAATCCTCAGAACACAGGAAATCGCTTCTGAGACGTTCTAGAAAACACAATTTTTGGGGGGGAGATCCCCCAAACCCCCCTGACGGGAGGGGGAAGACCCCATCCCTTACCCTCCCCCTCCTCGCGCTACACGCTCGGTGAGCTGCCTTTGGCAGCACACCGTTGTTTATTGAAAATTTCTCGGCCCCCCCTTTTAGGTAATCCTGGATCCGCCCCTGGTAGGTACTGTTACAGGATGGCCCGGTAGGTAAGAGTACAATTATAATGTATTGTGTAGGTACTGTAACAGGACGCCCTGGTAGGTAAGGGTACAAATATAATATATTGTGTAGGTACTGTAACAGGAAGGTCTGATAGGTAAGGGTACAAATATAATATATTGTGTAGGTACTGTAACAGGACCCCCTGGTAGGTAAGGGTACAAATATAATATATTGTGTAGGTACTGTAACAGGATGGCCCGGTAGGTAAGGGTACAATTATAGTATATTGTGTAGGTACATAAATAATCTTCCGTTTTTTTTGTATACATACTTTCAGTACAGTACCTTCTACATAGCTTACTCATATAAATATATAAATATAAAGGCTTGTCCTCATAAAAGTGTCCTTCCTTTTTATTTATAGAGACAGTTTATGTACGTCATACCTGAAAGCTATTCTGTTTCAGTAGGGTTCTGCTGCTGTACAGTAGTGATGGAAACGGGGTAGGAATAAGTACACAACGGTCAATATAATCAACGGGGGACAACCGATTGAAATAGTTTTCCTAACATAAGTAAACAGTATTAAAACAGTCCAAACGTCATATGCAAACCACATAGATAAATTGTTTACGGACAGTTTGCCTTCGAATGGCAAATCGTTTAACAGTACTGAAGCAGTACAGTACTACGTTTGCCAGAACAGCTGATTGATGGACAAGCGTCTTTCGTTATATTTTCTCTTAAAATGGTACTAGAAAAAGAAGTGTCACTTACCCCATATCCTTTAGTCGGTATTTCTTACATGGACAGTTAATTGATGTACACCAGGAAGAGGCAGACGCGTTACGACGATTGCAGAGAATAAAGAAATGATGCACAGCTAGTCAGTTGACATCTGTCTCGCTCTGATACACACAGTTGTTAACCTATGACCTACAACTAGAGTGATCTCCCTTTAACCATACGAAACGGTAGGTAGGCCTACTGAAAGTTGGTAGTAACGTACGCGTGATCGAGGCTATGCAATTTTCCCCTGTGAATGCGTGCTATGGTATGTGTTGTAGATTGTGCATAATGTATATTCAATTCAATATTTATTGCTCATTTTTAGTTAAAACAACAAACCGCATAAAGAAACTTAAAAAAATTGAACAACATAGAAACTTAGAAACCAGACATGCATTCCTCATTTCAAGTTAAGACTACGGTACCGTCACTCAATCTAATTAAAATCAGATCTCTCATTACACTACGTTATGGAGTAAGAAAATAAGAATTCAATTATGTATTGTATGTCTTGTATGGAGCGCATAATTGCCTCTTAATGTCAAAAGACCGGATGTGGCCACAACCCTTATTTACAAACCTTAACTCTCAGATACCTTAAGACGCTCCGTAAATGAATCCTCAACATAACCATCTTTCGCATAGTAAGTAAGTAACCCAACGACCATGTCGTCTAAAAACACAAACACGTGCCGATCTTAGCAATGCATATCCAGGCATCATCTCTATATTTATCAGTCTTACTAGACTCGACAAAGACACTCATGTATGCACTGGCAAACACAATATCACACACTCTGACACGAAGTAACTCATCGCTTCTCAAAATACCAGCAAAACCGAATAAACACGCACAAATATTCCTCTGATTTTTCACATTTCCAAAAACAAAATTACTTTTGTACATTAACCATAACAAAGCAACGGTTATATGCTTCTTTTTCACAACTGGTTTCGCTAATTTTCTTCTAGAAGATTCTGATATATTAACTAAATTAGAATTAGTGGGAGAATCCATATCAAACAAATCATGAAACCATTTTATACCATAAATTGCATTCACAAGAGGACTAGGTGTATTTGCAGTTTGAGTCAAAGAGGCTAAATAAAGAGTCACATGGAATGCATTGGCCGGCAAAGCGTCCCCAATTCCTAAAACCACTCATACAAAGCCACCGTTTCCACCGTTGAAATCCAGGCGTGTAGTTTTTTGAAGTGGATACAGAATCAGGGCCACCTCAACGGATTGATTGATTGCGTTTTTTGTCTCAACACTTTTGCATTACAATGGTATACTGAGATATATACATGTACAGTAATTAGCATGCGTTGTTATATAGAGGGATACAGTATAATAGAAACGGAGATGTACTGCAGTTACATATAATAAATACTTTCATGCAGGGGAACAGACAGAATTTTTTTTTTTGATAAAAGTACATAATTTTTTTCAGGAATGCTTTTCTTTTAGATGACATTATAACCTCAAGCGATAATACACTTTGTTACACCTCAAGTGAATTTCTAGCTATTTGATTGGTTGGGAGAAAATTAAACAAAAAATTCTGTCACCCTCCGAAAATACATTGGTTTTAAGGGGCGCGGGTGATATTGTCAGGAGACAGTGAAAAATATCACATGCGCAAAAAATGTGCGTGCACCGCTTCGTTTTCCCACCGGGATGGTCAAAAGAACGTTTGACGGCAACAGCCAATTTCTTCAAGCGCCGGTGCGATAGCGATTGTAAACAGCAGACTATCAACAAACAAGATGTCATTATCGAGGTTTGCTGCCGTTTCTGAGCTACAAAGACTTTTGGTGTAACAAAATAAATATGACATTCATTAGCAGGTGACAGTGAATATTGTCAACCCTCAAAAACCCATTGTCACCCTCGGCTTCGCCTCGGGTGACAATGGTTTTCTCGGGTTGACAATATTCACTGTCACCTGCTAATGAATGTCATATTTATATATTGTCATATTTATTTTGTTACACCAAAAGTCTTTGTAGCTCAGAAACGGCAGCAAACCTCGATAATGACATCTTGTTTGTTGATAGTCTGCTGTTTACAATCGCTATCGCACCGGCGCTT